GCCCGCGGGCCCTCGCTGACGCGGCTGTCTGCTTGCCCCCGCAGATGTCAGCGACGGCCAGCCCCGCACGGGGAGCTGCACCTGCTCGCCGCGGGCCCCCACCATAAGCGACTTGCTCAACGACCAGGACCTGCTGGATGTGATCAGGATCAAGCTGGACCCGTGCCACCCGACGGTCAAGAACTGGCGCAACTTCGCGAGCAAGTGGGGCATGCCCTACGACGAGCTGTGCTTCCTGGAGCAGCGGCCGCAGAGCCCCACGCTGGAGTTCCTGCTGCGCAACAGCCAGCGCTCGGTGAGCCAGCTGATGGAGCTCTGCCGCAGCTACCACAGGGCGGACGTGGAGAAGGTTCTGCGCCGCTGGGTGGACGAGGAGTGGCCCCGGAGGGCGCGCGCAGACTACCCCAGGGCCCTCTAGGGCGAGGAGGCCGCTGGGCTGCCCGCGGTCACCCCTGGGGGCAGGTGAGAGCCTTGTTCTGCCTGAGTTGCTGGGGCAGGTCTGGGGCGGGCTGTCCTGGGGCCCGTGGTTCTGTGGCAGCGCCAGGTGTGAGGTTTCGAGCGTCTGCTTCTGCACGTCTGTCTCAGTGGCACATTTGGTCACGGAGTGGGGGAGCAGCCGGGCGTGTACAGACCCACGCCGAGGCCGAGAATCAGGGTCACGCCTGCCGGGGTGCCTGGAGAGCCGCCCCAGCCCTCACGTGGAGGCCGGACATGGAGGCGCCAGAGGCCACTGCCCTGGGGCCCACACGGCCAGCACGTTCCCACAGCTCGGAAGTCAGCAACTTGCAGCTGCGGATAAAAGCACATGGACAGGCCAGCGGAATGTCGCCACGAGGCTGACGCCGTGACACCCCTCAGGGCCTGCGTGCCGCCTTGTCTACCAAATCCCTCGTGCCCTGTGCTCCTGCGTGAGGACGTCGGCTCGGTGTCCCCGAAGGGAAAGGAGCGGCCATGGGCGGGCGGAGCTAGGCCTTGGCAGGTGAAACGGGCACGTGGCAGCCGTCGGTCGGAGAGTTACGTCTGCTCGCAGTGGCTCTCGGCTTTAAAGCCGCAGGTTCGACTTCTGCGTCCTTTAGGGAAGTCTGCGTGTTCCACCCCCACACGAAGCTCAGTGAGGAAAGAAAGATGGCACCGGACTCGGGGTGCGGGGGCGGCGGCTGGTGCCTGGAGCCACCAGGGAGGCGCCGCGGCTTTCGTCTGGCACTGCTGTCTGGAGCCTGGACCACGACGTACTCACACTGGCCGCCAAGGTGGGCGTCCACGGGCCTGGTGGCCACGCCCTGGGGCCGGGCCGAGCACAGCAGAGCCGACCTGCAGTGAGCCGCGGGACAGTGAAGCGCTGGCCACCCAGGCGGCTTCGGCGGCCACGTCCCCCCGACCCCTGTGGCCCGGCCTGTCCTCACGCTGCCATCCGGACTGGGCGACTGCACACGGCAGCGTCGGGGCCCCTGTTCGCGCCCCCTGGCTCACACCCGCTCTGCGCCGGGGCCCGTGCTCTCTGGGGTGGCCCAGGAGGCCGGACACTCACTGACTGGGTGGCCAGGCCGAGTCGCAGTGTCGGCGCAGCAGAACTGCTCCCCATCCAGGCGGAGCCCCGCCGCCCGCTGCTCCCCAGAAAAGCGACCCCGGGGCCCCTCGAGTCCTGCTCCCCGCAGACAGCGCCCTCCGCTCGCCCCGCTGCTCCCGCCGCTGCCACATGACCACTGCGCCGCGCCCAGCTGCTGCTCAAGCAGGGCCTTACCCGGCCCGTCTCTGGCAGCCGCCCCGTCCCGCTCTCTCAGGGCTGGGCCCAGAGCGCCCCACCCCCAGAGTGGCCCTGCAGCCCCCCTCCGTCTCACGACTGCCAGGAGGATGCCGAGCCAGGTCTCAGCCCCACTGGCCTCCACAGGCCTCCACCTCCGCCCCAGCCAGCATCCTCCTGCTGCGGGGGAGCATGGTCCGGGCCGCCTCGTCCTTCCTGCCACAGCCCCACGCGGCTCACTCTGCCCTGCTCGTGCCACGCACCCGCCCGGCACCTGTGCTCAGACCCGTCTCGCGCTCTCCCTCAGCCCCCACGTCGCCCCTTCACGCCCCCCGCCCGCTGCCTTCCCACTGGGGACCCCGGCCCCCCCCCCAGCAGTGGTCTCACTGGTGGCGCCGCCCACCGAGGGGCCTGACCTGTGCTGCCCCGGGGCTGATGCGCCGGCGGTACAGGAGAGACTCCGAGAGAGAAGGGCCCAGGCACACCCAGGCTCCACGCCGAGTCCCTTCCAGACAGCCCACTCTTGGAAAGAAAAGGCTCACCCATGGCGAGTGCTGTCCGGCCGGCCCAGTCTCAAACGCCACCGGCACGCGGCGCTTCTGCTGGTCCCGACAAGTCGGGCCCCTCCGTCCGTCCTCCGGGGTCAGAAAAGCAAAGCAGGAATGTCCGAAGTTAGTGATGGTGACGGCTGCACACACGCTGAGCGGCGTGGAAGTAGCTGCACTCGGCCCTCTGAGACGGTGACCATGCCGCGTCTCCCATGCTGCATGAGTGACCTGCAACCGAGGACAAGACAGAGCATCTCTGCGGGAGCAGTGAGCAAGCAGCTCAGAGGCCACAGTCTGCACGGGGGAGTGTGGAGGCTGGTGGGGAGGCCGAGGCGGAGGCTGGCGTGACCCCCTGGAACGGCTCCCTTGCCTGGCTCCCGCCTCCCTCCCACAAGCGAGCCCATTCTATATTTTTCTTTTTCTGGCTTATTTCTCTGAGCGTGATGCCCCCCCACCCCCGCTTCTTCCTATTGCTGCAAAGGACACGCATGAGCTTCTCCTTTTTGATTGCTCAGTAATATTCCATCAGCCACTACAAATCTTACTGAAGCTTTGGCACCTTGACAGCTCAGGGTGGCCAAAGGCCAGGAAGGGCCGAGAAGGGCGGAGCAGGAGCAGAGGTGACCTGGGTCCCACTTTGACGCCACAGCCGTGTGGCCGGGAGTTCCCACCCTGCTCGGCAGGAAATGCCTCACCCCAAGAAGCCTATGTGCCGTATAGAGAAGCACAGGCGTGCGGCCCCAAGACCACTGAGGTGTAGAAGCTGAGCTGCCCGGGGCCTCACGCACAGGCGGAGGTGGGAGCCCGGGAGGGAGCTGCTCGCTGCAGGTAGTGGCCAGCATGTCCCTCCCTCGTCTCCAGTCCTGAAGCCGCCACGTGTCCTCTGACGCCTCTGCCTCGCCGGGGGGCGCCGGCCCTGTGTTGCCGTTTCCTTCCTGCCCGCCTCACGTGATCCTCGGTCCCTGGCTTCAGCGCCTCTGTGCTCCCAACTCAAGACTTCACTTCCCGAACACCCCCGTGCCGACGCGGCATCCATGGACGGACGTGCCAGGGACTTCCGTGTCGTCGCTCTGACCGAGCACATTAGAACCCCGACACGGTGTCCTGCCCTGCCCTCGCCTTAGGCCACCTGTCTCGGAGCCGCCCTCTGCTCCGGTACGTGGGCTCTCGGCCCGCATCCCCTCGCTCGTGGCCACACCCTGCCCCTGGTCCTGCTGACCCCCTCAGCCCACGCGCGTTGGCCGTCTGGCGTCATTCCTGACCTAGCTGCTGCCGTGACCCTGACCAGCGTCTGGCGTCCGCCCTCCTCAGGCCGGCCCTCCCCTGCCTGCCACGGCTGCGCCGAGCCAGCTGAGCACCCGCGTAATGGCCGGCACCCGGCACGCTCCCCGACTTCCAGCCGGCACAGACCCTGCTAGGGACATGGTTTCCACCCGCCTCTGGGACGCAGTGGACCTGTCCTGAGGGCCAGGCCCCTCAGAGTGGACGCCTCGTGGTCACACGGTCTGGTCACAGTTTAAAAGTCAACTTAAAGGCAATTTTAAAGCTCGGTCCAAAGCAAACACACTCTTGTGGCGACAGCCTTGATGGGCAGACGCGTCACCCAGTCATGAGCGGAGCCCTTTCACTCTTCCCTGTTCTTCGCAAAGACGTTACCAGCAGGGTACCTGTCACATTAAATACTGACTTCAAAAGCTACCAAAGTGGGGTCCTCCCTGGTGGCACAAGAGGTGAGTCTCAGCTCCTGGAAGCTGCCCCACCCCTGCAGCCGGAGGCACAACAGACCTCTCCTGACCCCCCCACGGCTCCCCTCAGCAGTGGGCTTCAGTTCATCTGCCTCTTGTGCTCCCCGCTCTGTCACTGGTGAATCCTCTCACCCCACATCTCTGGCCTGTACCCCAGCTCTTGTGTGCATGAATAAATACATCTTAAAAACAACAACAACAACTATCGGGCCCTCCCTGGGGGCGCAGCGGGTTAGAGCGCAGCACTGAGAAGCTAAAGCCACTGAAGCACGAGTTCGATCCCCGCCTGCCCCGGAGGTGACCCCAGGGCATGGCAGACCTCTCCTGACCCGCCCGCTGCTCCCTCAGCAGTGAACTTTGTCCATCTGCCGGTTCTGCTCCCCACACACCCCCTGCACCTCTGGCCTGTACCCCAGTTCTGTGCATAAATAAATCTTTTTTAAAAAAAACTATAGGCCCTCCCTGGTGGCGCAGCGGGTTAAAGCACAGCACTGAGAAGCTAAAGCCACTTCCGCATGAGTTCGATCCCCGCCTGCCCCGGAGGTGACCACATGGCGCGGCAGACCTCTCCTGACCCGCCCGCTGCTCCCCTCAGCAGTGTACTTCGTAGATCTGCCTGTTCTGCTCCCCACTCTGTCTCTGGTGAAGCCTCTCACCCTCCGCATCTCTGGCCTGTACCCCAGCTCTGCATGAATAAATAAATAAATCTCTAAAAAAAAAAAAAACTATAAACGGGAGGAAGTGTCCACTGGAAGCTTCTGGAAGTTTCCATCGTTTAGTGAATGACGCCGATGTCAGGTGCGCGCCGAGGGCAGGAGCTGCGCCGGCCCCGCCGCCCCCAGCCGCGGGCCTCCCCGCATTCCCGCTCCGTGCCGGCAGCTGGACGCCCCGCAGGCCGGAGCGGGGGAGGCCGTGGCCCGCGGGATCCGGGCCGGAGCCATCTGCGCCTCTGCCCGCAGCTCCGGCCCCAGCGGGTGGCCAGCAGTGGGCAGCTGAGCGCCGCCCGTGCACGGCCCAGCAGCAAGCCCTGCGGGGCTCCGGGTCCGGGCGCTCAGAGGGGGCCCCTAGCGCCTGGCCACGGCCAGGCGGAGCCGCCACGCCAGCGCTCTGCCTTGAGCTGGGCCACAGCGCGGACACTGGGTGGCCGCTGGCGGCTGCTCCGGCCAGGTGACCCCCGTGCTCGGGCCCGCAGGAGACTCAGCTGCACTGGGGGGGAGGTGCGGGGCGGGAGTGTGGGGTGCAGGGCACTGCCCCCAGCTGGCCCACCCCGGTCAGGCCAGGAGACCAGCCAAGGCTTCACTTCAAGCTAAGGCGGGAAAAGCCGACAACTTGCCGGGCAGGCGCTTCCTCCACGCGGCGGGTCCGACCTCATCCTGCCCGGGCCTCCGGTGGCCCCACGGACCCGCTCGCTGGGGAGAGGAAACTCGCTGGGCCCAGGAGTCAGACTCCAGGCTCACCCAAAGCACCCCACGGGCCTCAGGAGCGTCATGACCGAGGTCCAAGGGCCCCACGGACCAGCCAGGCTGTAGCAGGGCGGGGGTCCCCAACACAGGGAGGCCCCAGGGTCCCTGCCCCACCTGAGGGAGGGGAGCGCGCAGGGAGGGGAGAAGCAGGAACCGGCCCCGCAAGCGTCTGGGCGCAGCGCAGACCCCACAGCTCACGCAGCAGCCCTGGGACCCCGCAGGGGCCCTGCCCGCAGGGTGGGGTGCAGGGAGCCCCCCAGTCCCTGCCAAGCAGCCGTGCGCAGGCCAAGCTGGCCCCAGCCTTCCTCGGGCGGGACTGCCCGCCGTCGGTCATTTCGCCCAGCTGGCCTCTTGCCCGGGGGCCCTGGGCAGCTGTCACCGCCCAGCTGCTGTCCAGCGACGGGCCCGCCCGCCCCCGGCAGCCTGCGCTCTCGTCTTCTGGCCTCGCGGCGCGGGGGGGACTCGCTGGCTCTGTGCATCTCCTCGGCCTGCGTCTCATGGACGCCGCCTCCCGCTCTCAGGCGCCTCCTGAGCGGACTAGAAGCTGTCGGTGAGCCGAGGCCTCCCTGGGCGCAGGGCCCACAGCGCAGCACTGTGAGCGGTCCTGGCCCTGCGCCCGAGCTCGATGCCCGCCAGGGAGGGGCCCCAGGGCGCCGCAGACCCCCCTGCCTCCCCGCTGCCCCCTCAGCCGTGCGTGCCCCCTCGGCCTGTGCTGCTCCCCGCTCTGTCTCTGGGGACCCCCCTCGCTGCCCCGCACCTCTGGCCCGCGCCCCAGCTCTGTGTGCATCAGTAATCAGTCTTGGCGAGTGCCACGGGCTGGGGGCGGGGCTGGGGCATTTCTGCTCTGCAGGGACAGTTTCAGCCGGGGAAGATGACAAAGCCCTAGGGAGGGACAGCGGTGACATCACACCATGACGTCACTGTGTAAACTGCTGAACGGACACTTAGAAATGGTGAACGCAATGCATCTGGGGTCACTGTACCTTACTGCAATACACAGAAGTCTCGGGGGCGAGGGGAGGCTCCTCCCCTGTCTCCCCGCCCTGCCTGGCTCCCGAGGGGCCAAGCGAGATCACTGAGTCTTAGACGCACACGCTCGCTGTCACGCCGGGCACCATCCTGGGTGGGGACCACTGTACCTCGGAGCAAAACTCTCCTACTTAATTTTATAAGCTACGCAACTCAGTTTTGGGGGGAGAGTCCTAGTCTAACTTTCAAAAATCACAATTTTCGTTTTGACAAGGGCCACGTCCCCAACCGAGGTCTCCGTACATTAGAGACACATTCCAAGGACGTCAGATCTCAGGTGCCAGCAGGGTTATCCTGAGTCTCTCAAAGCCACCCAGTAACCACCGCAGGCGCATTCCAGAAGGACCACTGAGTCTGTGGGTGGGGCTTGGGCAGCGGCTGCCATCTGCCAGCTCGGTTCTTCTGACCTGTGGGTGGAGACTCAGCCAAGGGCAACTCCCAGTCCTAAGGTCAGTGCTGACACAGGACGGCACATAGGAACCCCACGGCAGCCCTGGCCTGCGGCCGCTGGGCGGAGTCATCCGCCTGGGGCCTCGCGCTCAGCCCTCCCACCCCCTAGTGTCCACCCTACCTGGCGGCTGCCCCGGGCTCTGGGTGCCCGCCGATGCCCCTTCTTCCCGCGGGTTGTCATGGGGGACCGTGGACATTTCCAGAAAACAGCATTTGGAGTGGTAGCAGGTGTGAGCTGCACAGCGCTCGTCTCTTTCTAAACACTCAGTCTCTAGAAGAACCCGCGTTCACTGCCTGCCCAGGAGGCGTGCAGAGCTCGGTTTCCACACCTCGGGCTCCCGGTTGCCCACGCACCCAGCTGGCTCCCAGCACCACGAGCGTCAGCGGCACCTTCGGCCGTGCGCAGGGCTGGCTGTGGGGCCTGTGTGGGCCTGGCCCGTGTGTCCGTCTGCAGCCTGCACTGCCTTATTCTGGGTGCCGGTCTGTAGTATTCACGTTCCCAGAGAAACCAGACGGGGAGAGGGGTTGACTGTCACCGGCGGGCGCAGTGGCAACAGCCCCAAAAGGCTGAGCCCCGACTGGCAGGAGAGGTCGGGCGACGGGTGTCTGAGGAGCCTGTCGCTTCACCCACGCGGCTCAGCCCTTGGCTGCTGGGAGGGCAGGAGGGCGTGCTGCCCTGGCGCGGGAGGCGGCCCCAGCAGCAGCAGGGTCCCAGCAACAGGCTTGGGGCGGCGCAAAGCCCAAGGGACCCGCTCTGCGCTCTGAAGTCGGGGGGACGCGGCCACCGGCCCTCCCTTCCTTTTCAAGGTTGTTTTGATTCCATGCAAATTTTAGGATTTTTTTTTCTATTTCTGCAAAAAGTGCTACTGTAGTTTGACAGGGATTGAGGTGAATCTGCAGAAACCTCTGCGTAGGATCCTCAAGTTCCCTCGAAGCACAGTGTTTGATATATTTCTTACGAGAGAGCCCAAGGACGAAAAAAAGGGCAAAGAAACGTGGGCTTGTTTTATGTTGAGATTGTGAGGCTCGTACTTGGCTTCTTTATCTTGAACAGGTAACAGGTAAGTGCCTAGCCTGTAGAGCATGGGCATGCTTATAGGTAACTAACATAAGCATACTTGCTGGAAATCAGGATTTTTATTAGAAAATGGGGTAGAGACATAAAATTAAAAGGCTACGTGAGAGCACTATCACCCTGGTGGAACGCGAAGAGTCATGTTTACATTCAGACGCTAAGGCCTGGCTTCCTGCCTCACCACTGCGGAGTCAAACCCCGTCCACGCCTCGCCTAGACGCAGCGGCCTGTCCCCCGGAGGGTCTCTGGGAAGCCTGAGCCCGGGCCGGGCAGGAAGGGACGGCCTGGCCGAGGGAAGCCAGAGGCCCAGCGACCTCCTGACAGCCTTAAGGTGAGAAGATTTATCGGAAAAGAGCAGGAAGCACATCAGCGGTGTGAATACTCAGAATCCGTAACCTTTTAGAGAGCCAACTGTAAACAGCCGCTTAGTGAGAAAACTGCCGAGGCCGGGAGGGGCCAGGCTTACCGGGCTCGCTGGCCAGCGCCGTCGGGGCCAGCAGCAGGTAGGGCGGGGCGGAGTGCCCGTGGGCTGTGCGCCACAACGACGTGAGCGC